GTAAGAGCAAGACTTATAAAGAGAGTGAAATTCTGCTATTTCCTTCTTACAAGCTGCGCATGGGTTTGTAGAACTTAAAGTAAAGTCCTCTGCAAGAAGATGTGAGGGGTTGTATGTCTGTAGGAGCGTTTCATTGTGCTACTTTATACCGCTTTCAACAGTTATCAAGAGGTTACTGCAGACAGATGCGGAGGTCTGTCTGTTTCGGAGTCTTCTCGGAGTAGATAGGCTATTCGATGCTGGACAGTATCACAATGATAACGACTTCCTGGAAGAATGTTGAGGATCTGAGAGACGGATCAGGCACCAGTGTCCGGTTGCCCGTTAATACATTGAGTCACTAGACCCTTTGACCGCGGTTAATATATGACCCAACGTATAAGCAAAATGTTTCGTTTTATTGCGAAACCTCCTATCTTGGCCTAAAACTGTAGATACCGTACCACATTTGGTTTGGTAACTCTTAGAGGAGTGAACTGAAAATTAGGGATGGGTTTAATTGAGATGGAATGCAGCGTGTTTGCTCATGTCACGTGATTTTTGCCCAGTGGCCACCTACCATCACAGCCAATTTGAGGTTATAATCGTACTTTGTTTTAGTATGGCTTCAAAACGTACTTAGGAATCGTGCCGACGGTGACGAATTGGAACTCTACTGCCGACGAGTTCTCGCTGGTTTTCGACTCGAACCCTCTGACCGAGTTCGTCGAATTGCCGCCGGACTCACACAAACAGCTGCACTATTCGCAGATGATTTGTGGCACGATTCGCGGTGCTTTGGAAATGCTTAATTTGGAAGTGCATGCGAAGTTCGTACAGGACCAACTGCGCGACGACCAAGTGAACGAGATCAGGGTGAAGCTGATCAAGAAGATCCGCGAAACCGTCCCTGCAGGCGACGACTAACACTAGTGTCATCGGCGCTGTGCATCGATCATTTCGAAGCAACACTTAGAAGGCAGTTCTGCTTTGCAGAAGATGCGAATTTTCGTTCTTACCGAGACTCGACCGACAGCTTTCTCCAAAAGTTGAATATCTGCAGGTTTATGTAACGACTCGATTATCTGCTTAATCAGATGTTTTTATTTTTGCCATATTATGTCTGCCTGTTGTTTATCATTGCCCGAGTTAAAACAGTAAACAGCTATTTAAGTTTTTCATTTTTCATTCTACTTGAAATCAAAAATAATTGTTCATAATTTTTATGAATTGGATCCGCAAACGTAGCCTTAGAACCTGGAAATTTACAGTTGATGATGCTCAGCTGTTTCACTTACTGTTTGTAGCTAATTTCATTGTGGTTATTTTTTCTCGTGCTGATCGCGCATATGCATCTGATAGTTTCGCAGTCGCCTGAAATAAGGATAAGATGAAATTCTGCCGAGGCTTTCGTACAACGAAAAAGTGCGTCGCTTGTTGTCGTCGTTACTTTGGCATCATCTTTAGCCGCATTGCGAAACCACAGGCTGCTTAAGGTTTGTAATGCCTGTTTATCTCGACTTTTTTTATTCTCATATTAGGATTGTTTAAGGTATACATGCAGGTGTTTTACAAGAAGAGTGTAGTTGAGATAGAATTTAATTTTTTCGACACAACGTTCACGATTTAATGAGGGGAGGGGTCATGTAAACTGACGCATATTAGCGTGGAAACATAATCGTTTCTGGCAGTTGCGATATAACTAAGCGGTCATGTACAACTGTCTCTAAATCTGTTTAAATACCTACCCTCACTTGATTATTAGATTGTGACCCCGGTGCTGATAGCAGTAGTGATTGTTCGTTCGAATTATTGTTATTGTTATTAGATTCTGTAAATTCTCCTGTACGGTAGTCAGTTCAGTTCGGTGTAATTTAGTCCGTGCGTCAGTAAGACCACGATAAGTTGCCTTGGGTGGAGTATATGAAGAACATGAGTATAATGCACAAGGGGATATTAAAAGAAATAGCGAAACATTTAATGTGATGATAGGAACAATTACTTGTGAGGGCTGCGTTGTCGGATAATCGACGCATGCTCACGTTCAAGAATCAGTAACCATCCGTCGATAAAGGATAGAACAGATAGTTGTAATCTTAAGTACGGCTGACAGCAGGTAAAAAGTTTTTTTCTGATTAACCGTAGAGTAAAGCGGCACGCTGCTAGTGCATCCTACATTGCATGTTTGGATCGTCCTGTGTCTTTACGCCAAGTGAAGCAGCCGATTTGGCCACTCTTCTAGTGATGATATCCATCGTTTCCTTAAGGTCTAGATTACTCAGCAAAGCGACCATTCTGGTAGCTCTTCATTGCATGAATTACTAATTCTGGGTCATATGAGGGAAATAGGTTAGCCCCGCATGTTGTATTGGAGGCAGTACGCATGTCTTCGTGAAAGACTGCATAACTACCCTCTACGATACATGAACTCACAAGCGCCGGAAGAATGAGACAGCATTGCGTGCTTTCTGAGCTACGCTTGCAACGTGCTTTCCAGCTTGCATACTGTCCTCAAAAATAACTCCTGGATACTTCACTTCTGATTTCCTTCAGGATACCTTGTATTTATGACTGTTGCACGTTAACGTAGATTTTAAAGTTGTTTTTAAAACGAAGCTCTCGAAACACCATATCTTTGATTTGGAACGGCGGTGTTGCCCTGACTGCGTGCATTTTGAATTTTATTACTCAACCGTGTTGTCTTCTTAGTTCCGGACGGGCGCAGTTAGAAATGTAGTAGCTCCCTCTTGACTTCTGCAGTTGCTAATATGAAGAGCAAACAAGGCAGGAGACAGCACTCAACCTTGCGACAGTCTAAATTTACAAGGTTTCAAGTTCTACCTCAGTCTTTCTGCTCGAGCACACGTGTAATGTCGCTAATATATGTCGTTAGTAACGTAACTAGCCGAGGATTGATTCCAGCATCTGTGCTTCTTTGCTGCTCAGAATCGTACAACAGAATTCTCAGAATTTTAATTCGCAAGGTTTGTGCAGGATCGCAAGCGTAGGACTACATTGGCAAATTCCTATGGCAGATCATCAGTATGGACAGACATAATACCTAATGGTTTGAGTATATTGAACACCCGAAATTGGAGTATCTTTGAATCTAGTCTGAAGAGCCTATTTTATTTGCGGTCGGCTGGTCTCACAGAAAATATCTCATTGACCCACTGCAATATATAAAAACTATTGATCAGTTGAATTGTTCTCGCTTAGGCATTTCATTTTTTAGCGTTGTGGGTGAGCCATAGGTTTTCCCATGGCTGTTTAGCCCAGTGAGTAGCCAGAAAATACCAAAAAATAGACAAATTGAATATTCTAATTAGTTTTTTCCTTGGGTGATCGTCATTAATGAAGATATGTGGAGACCTGCACCTGACATGGACCAATAGCTGCAAACATTTGGTTTGATGAAACGGCCCAATGTGAGGATTAAAATATTTTCACAGCCCTTCCCGTTTAGGAAACTTGCATTGACCGTAAGCCTGATGGAGGGCAATGCAAAGCGTGAAAACACCTCGTTGAGGCATTGCTCCTTGCGAAGAGGAATATGACCTCTGCCGCAGCTATGAAAATTGCCTAATATCAAGGGCGAATTAACATTTTCAGCAGTCAGACATCGTAAATCTGGGTTGCTCTGCTGTTTAAGCTCTGTTAACCTCAGATGACGATGGAAAAATCAACGGTATAGATAACGTCATATTCTCCACCTGTCTTTTCTCCAGCTGTGTCTGATCAAGAGGGCACAGTATTAACCTGTGTATCTGCTAGTTCTTCAACACCGTGAATATAGGACTCACTTAACATGCATGACGATTCAATAGTGAAGACAGCACATCAGGTATTTAGTTCTTTCATAGGGAAAATTTTCAAAACAACTGCATATACCTAAATATGAGACTATAAATTTTGCTTTTACATGCATTGTGCCATTTTTCATTTGGTGCTAACAGGTCTGCTATCGTCTTTCCTATGCTATCAGCATGTGATTTCAATGCACTCAGGAAGTCACTGAAACTTGTTTAATGACTGTATTTTATGCCACATGCGCCATCATGTTTAGTTTTGATTAGAGACAGCTTTTTGAAGGCGAAAACTGTCCAGAGCGGTGTGGAGTTGTATCGTTGGCTATTCTTCTTCTCCAAGGCTTTATGCTAGTCGAATAGGTTTGAGTTCTGTTTTATTGCACATAGTCTCTGTGCGTGCCTTTCACGGCAATGAGGATTAATAGTTGCGTCATTGAGTTGTATATAATAATAATACCACATTATGTTCGCTGTTCAGCGATTGTTTTTGAAACGAATAAACTTGCGTGGGTACCAGTCGAGA